AAAGATTTCTTATCAACATATTTACGTGTTGTGTAACACCCTGTATGCATCCGGTTTGTTAACATGTCATCGTATTAAGCCACACTTAATTAAAATTGTGGAATCTCTTTTTATTTCCAATTATGACGTCATTATCATTACCAAGTTGAATTACTTAATTCATTTTCAAAACATCGCCTGTATGTAGATTGCAAAAGACAGCTAACTGAAATACCTCATAAAATAGAATAACTGTGTGTATCTAAATCACGGAACTACAACACGTAGCCCGGACAATATTCTTGATACATTATTACAACTCGAATCTAAGTAAGACATAGTCAATCAATGTGGCATGGACAATCTCCATGCTCACCAAATAAGGCAACATAGCCCAACAAAGTCACAGCTCAACAGTAACAACATAATCATAAAATGAAGCTAATAGCATAATAACAACAGACATAATCAAGCATCCAAGCATATTCAGAATAAACAGGCAAGCATCAATCAATTAAGCTCTGGCCTCCTGTCGCCTGAGGTCTCAACCCCAGCATTACCTGAACTTGAAATGTGTGTCCCAAATGTGGGGTGAGATCTCTAAAAAGAAATCTCAGTAAGACAAGGGGTCCTCAAGGACTCTCTCGCCCCAAGCTCACTTACAAGTATAATATAAGTTTAAAACAGTAATTTTCAATGCATGTTCATGTTAAGACATTTATATCATGACATTATCATCTCTTGCTCAACGAGCCAAGTACTATGACTTATTAATCATGTGATGTATGCAAGTGCATTTCGACTGGTCAGGGAACAGGATAGAGCTTATACACGTCTGTTACCTACCCACATGAGGGAGGCTGCCTCATGCCTTGCACACCAGGGTGGCTGCCTGATCGTACAAGTACTAACATCACATTCATACATTACATCAACAGCTATAGTGCCTTGTACACCAAGGTGGCTGCCTGATCGTACAAGTACTAACATCACATTCATACATTACATCAACAGCTATATCAACATGTCTCAAGAATATATCAATGCATATATCATTTTCATAAAAGCATACTATGCATATAAACCACCCTCCCATGGAGGTCGGTGGAACAAACAACAGACTAATCCGAGGACACGAAAGCTTACCTTGCAAGCTAACTATCCAAGCCAAGAGTCCAACCAACTCAAAGTCAACACACAGTCCAATCACAATCTGTTTTGGACCGATAAATATATCAATATTCAAACACAACAAGCATACGATGTAAAGACAACACATTTCCTTTACGTTTCATGTCTTTAGGCTATTCACAAAGCCATAAATCCTTAATTCTAGTGACATATACACACTTTTCATAATTTTCCGGAATACTTCATCGGTACACATTTATACCGAGTAGCAGAACCGGTATCTGCACTTTTCGTCAGAAAAGCGACTTTCAGTATCATTACTCACTTACCAATATTATTTAAGCCTCATAATAATTATTAGGGTCAATTATTGAATTATTTTCTAATTCTCACATTTATTTAATTAATTTTCTTAATTAACGGTGTGGGTTCTTACATGTTATCAGTTCAATTATCATGTGAGAGGATCTGAGTATCATTTTTGTATACTTACAAAAGGGTACTCATAACTCCATCCACTACTTTAACACTTCCAGTTGGTAGTCACTACTTGCATTCACATGCGAATATTCAAATATGTATTTACAATACCATAAACACTTATAGTCGACTGCATTCTTGCATAAAAGGAATTTAGGATTTTTCATAATACCAAACTTCATACTATAAGATTAAATAGCATATGATTCCTTGACTAGTAAAATTTACTCAAAAATTAATAATTTTTGTCGTATTTTTAGACGAAAAAAATTTCTATCGAATTAACAGAAAACAAATTCTGTCGAAATTTTCAACGAAAGTGGTTTTCGTCAAAAATTTCAACGAAATTTAGTTCCAGACAAAATTTATCGTCATTAATTTTGACCAAATCCTTTTAGGTCTCTATTTTCAAAGGAAATATGGTTTTCGTCAAAAATTTTAACATAATTTAGTTTTCATCGAAAATTTCAATGTAATTTTTTTTCCTTCAAAAATTTCAACAGAACTTTTGTTTTGTTGAAAATTTTTGTCGCTGAATATGACCGAATGTTTTTCCGTATCTATTTTTGACTGAAATTTTTTTCGTCTCTATTTTCGATGGAATTCAATTTTCATCAAAAATTCCATAATTGTTTTTAACGAAATATTTTCCATCGATAATGGAGCATTTTCTACTAGTGACATGCATAATAAAATTTTTCACTTCAACAATGAATTTTAGAAAAAAAATCATCCAATCGAAAATCATTAATTAGTAAAAAAAAATGTCGTAGATTCATTCATACGTATTATGGAATATTTCTTTGATGAAATTGTTACATTCCAATTTTTTTCTTTAAATCACAATAATATATATCTAACATTTTGTATTTCAAATTCATATGTAGCATCATAATTATTTCTATGTAGGAAAAATATTTAATTAAATTTATTTGAGTAATTAGTTTCTCAAATTCTATTAAAACTATAAAATTATTTACTAGTCTAGCCTATTACGAATTGATCTTCAATGTGACAAAACGAGTTCACTCGTTTTAGTTGGAATTAGAGCCTTCTTAATATGTCTAGTGAAATAAAAAATAATTAGGCCCAAAAAAAGTTTATTTAAAATAAGACATGGATTTACTTTAAAACGATCTGATGTATTGGCTTATAGCCATCTTCTGTCGTATTATTTATTTGGAATAAAAACAATTTGTAAATTAAATAATAAAATAATATTATTGTGGTTATAATTTTTTAATTAAGCTAGCAGGCATGATAGAAATGCCAGGCCGGCCATGTTTTTATTTTTTAAAAGTATATTAAATCAGACACATAATTTAACCTTTATCAGATTATATATATAATAGATTATATTAAGCTTAAAATACTTTATATATTAGACTTATTTGAGCCAAAGTCTAATGTAATATAGCCTATTTACACATGAAGTATATGTTTTTGCGTCAAATGTAAGTATATTTTGTTGGGCTTCCTCCTTCAATGCTAAGCCCAAGCCCATTTGAGGGGTTTCCTAAAAACCCTAATCCTAATTTCCACCTCCTCTATATATACTCATTAGTTGAGGGTGGAGGCTAGGTCAGATTTGAGAGAACAAATTTGAGAGAATTATTTGATTGTTTGAGCAAGGCTTTATGCTTTGCATTTGAAAGATCTCTAGAGAGAGAGTTTGAGTGAAACATCACTAGGGTAGTTTGATATCACCATTGTTGGAGAGGTTGAGTTAACCACCACATTGGTGTATTTGATTATTTGTAACCATTATTTTCATAGTGGATTTCTGATCTGGACTAGGTCCCGTGGGTTTTTACTTCTTCATTGGAGAAGGTTTTCCCACGTTAAATCTGGTTGTGTTCTTCTTCTCTCTCCTGTTTTCGTTTTGATTTTTCCGCTGCGCTGCCTGACCTGGTGAAGTTCAGGTTGAGGTATTGCCGAGATCCGAGATCAGGATCTTGTTGATTGACTTCCGTACAAAGGCCCCTGAGCCGAGCTTGAGGGAACCGAGTTTTCCCAACATATTTCTCCCAAGAGGTAGAATATGTCAATATAATAAGTGATATAGTGAGTTAGAGGTATAGAACTAAGCTCAACATAAAAGTCACCGCCAGTAGGTCCGATCAAGCACAAGCTGAGATTTAGGGTGAAATGTATAAGGCACGGTAGCTATGTGACTAGAGTAACAACAAGGAGAATAAGTGTGCAAAAGAGTTGCATTCTCAATAACAAATGAGGGATTTTTATAGGCAGAGAAGATTCTATAATAATAAGTGAGTGAGAGTTATAATAGTTTCTGCCATTGTGGGTCCAATTAGGAATGAAACAAGTATTCTCATTTAATGTATGAGATGGGGGTGCAAGGGAGTAAGAATTATAATAGTGAGGTAAACATTTCCCAACGGTAGCGGCCTCTTTTAAATTTAAGTCCATCTTCCTTTTTGAATATAATATACTTGAATATTATAGAGTTGAAATTTTTATCCAAACTGTCACGGTATCATAGTCACTGAGGTAACTATGAACTTGACACGTGTCACGTTTTCAATGGTTGGACACGCAACTCAATCAATCCAAAGTCGCTGAGGTAATTAGCTATTTTGGTGCAACCAGGCTTTCCAGTCATTGGAAACGTGACCGTGTCTAGTCCATAGTAATTGACTACTCAACGACTATTATTTTTTATTTAAGCAAGCCTTTTCCCCAGACAATTTATAGCCATCTCATTGATCATACACGGCCCACTTGCATAGATTTAGCTTGTTTGGATCCTCTTATTTTTAAGCTAGAAGCTACTTATAAGCTAAAGCTAAAAAAAGAGCTTAAAAAAAGAAGCTAAAAGTTGTTTGAAAATTACATGAAAATTTTAGCTTAAAATTTACTTAAAAGCACATATTTCAAGAAAATTATCTCTCTCTCTATCTTTATCACTCTTTATTTTAAAAAAAAAACACACAATTCAAGAAAAATAGATAAGAGCTGAAAAAAAAGCTCCTAGGAGCTTTTAATTTTCAGCTTTTTTCTTCATTATAGAAAAAAGAGTTTTTCATTATAAGAGCTTTTTCCAAAACCTGTTTGGCCTAGTTTATGCTTATAAGTAGCTTCTAGCTTAAAAAAAAGAGGATCCAAACAGGCACTTAATGCCTCAGATTTTAGATGTTGTGATCAGAGGTTTAGTGTCTCGGTTTTTACTCTTTTGTTGAATGCTGAATCTTTATTTTGTTATATGGGTAAAAAGCAAAGAAGATGGATATATAAATCAAGGGATAACAAGAACTAATCGGTAAGTACAAGGAATATGTCAAATCTATTAGTAATCGTTGGATAAGTACAAGGAAAGATTTTCACTTTTATTATATTTATAACCACACTTCTCATGAAGTTTTATTTATAGTGATAACAAGAACCCATGCTTAGTTGTGAGGTTCAGCATCGGTATCAGCCTCAACATGTTCACCAGGATAATGGCAGCATCTTCTACAACCTCCATAGTAGCTCCAACGGCAGCAACCAAAGCGACAATAACCACCATAACCTCCACCATAACCACCACGCCATGAACCACCATAACCACCACTTCGGTAATATTTGCTTTCATCTATGCCATTTACATCAAGGTCATCTACAAAAAAAATAAAAAAAAATTAATAATCTAATCAGGTCATTGAATTAAATAATATTGTTCATCATCAATATTTGGTAAAAAACATAACGAAATTGTCGACTTGCATGCATGAAAATAATAATAATAATAATAACTAATGATGAAAAACTAATGAACAGAATTACCATTATTCTTGTCAAATTTCTCGTTTAAGTCTTTGGGTGCAACTTTGGAAGAAATCAGAAGGGCAGAAGCCAAGAATATAACAAGAACAAGCAAAGCCTTGGAAGCCATTTTTCCAAACTGACTATAGGAAACAATTGAAAACTATTGAATCTATATATTTCGATGAAAAGGAAGTGGCTGAATGTTCTCTATTTATAGGCAGGGTGGGGAAGAGATAGAATAGGATTATTCAATTCTTTAGTTCAGTCTTATCTTATAGCAAAGTATTTCAATCCAAAATGATCTTCATAGTTTTGTCAGTTTTCTTCTTTGTTTATGTTTTCATATCCGAGTTGTTATTATTAATGAATGAGTAGTGGTCACATTGTAAGAACAATTAGCAGTAGTAACATGGTTATAGGTATGATCTTTTTGCTAGAATTTGAGTTGAGAACGATAATGTGTCCACCTCCAAGATTGGTACCACATGTACCGTAAATGTAACCGCGAATGCAAGTTTTAAAGTGCAAGTGACAAGGGATTCAATTAATTCTCGGTGCAAGAAATTCCGGGTAAGGTAAATCTCATGACGTAAGATGTAGGAGCAGAATTGCAGAATTAAGAAAAGGAGAAAAGAGAGTTGGGAGAATTTATCGATCAATCTTCATTAAGATTGCTGAATTCTCAATACAACCCTCTTTTTAAATAAGTCTAACTCCTATGAGTTCTAAATTATCTAAAATCCTGCCGTGGATAATGATAAAAAGCTAAATCCTAATGAAAAGTGTTATGGATTTGACAAAGACACAAATTCTAGAAGGCCCAAATAGAGTTAATAGCTAAGAGAAAATTAAGAAAATATTCATTAATTACACTACTCCTACTACGGCAGCAATGAATCAATAATTGGATCCTAAAAACTCCTAGGAGGTCCAGAAGTTCACACCTGTTAGATAACTCATCTATAAATAACAGGTTAAGCCAATAAGGTACACACTCTAAACCATCTCTCTTAGCTTGTTACTGTGCACACACGTCCCCTTTGACTATGCCGTTTATATTACAGTGCACAGTGATCCGCTAATCTCTAGGTCACCTCTCCCATAGGTATCTGAGGACAAACAGATCCAATATTAACATATCAATCTATGATTGAACATCTTTATCTATCGTATCGTAACAAAAAGATAAAATCCTAATGATAAAATAAAACAAAATCTAATAACTAACAATACAGATAACATTTCCTAATTTAAAATGAGATAAGTTGATCCACTAAATGGGCTCTTAATTCAGAAAACGTACGGGCTTCTTTATAATCCTTTTGGGCCTATTATCACAATCATTGGGCTTGTAGTTAATAGAGAATTGTGGGCTGCTGGGCGCAACATAAGACTTGCATTATCGATCATTGTCTAAAACCAAGCTTCGGAGACTCTCTAGTCATATGCATATGTTGTCCTTTTGTACTTGCCTAATAGAGAGTTGGGTAACCCAATCATATCATGCAGATTTTCGGGTTGTTTATTAAAGAAACATTCTATTTAACCATCTATACGTGTCCTTTTAACACCCGTTGCCTTACAGCAAATATTTCCAAACCTATCCCATTATATTCTTTTTTTTTCATTTTTTTTTTCCGGAGTGTTAATTATCAGTATTGTTAAGATTGCAATGCAGATTGGCCCTGTCGATCTTTGTCTCAATTGCAATCTCGCCTAGTGAAAATTTTATTTGATATGATTAATTATGTCATATTGATATCAGGAGCTTTGCAAATTGCAACGCTGTCACAACAACCATGGAAACAAACTCCGACAAAGGAGCATTCAAGGAAAAGTTCGATTTACACGTAACTTCCTCGGTTGATGATCGTCCTTTGAAATCACTTACTTTTGAAGTCAAAGACATGTAAGCTAGAGCATCAAGATTCTCCACTGCTAGGGATCCAAACATTATGAGCAGTGTTGGACGTGTACTATTACAGGTACCTGATGCCACACATGTTTTTTTTTTTTTTTTTTAAGTTAACCGAACTTTAATTATTTCTTTGAGACAAGTTGATTTTTTTTGGTATTCTCAGAGACTCGACTCTTTGAGTCAGTGGACTAATGTGGAGTGCGGGGCGGATCAATAATGAAGATATTTAAACTCCTCTCAAAAGTTGTATGTGGGGATGGAACTGAGTCCATTTCTTTTCCACTTACCCAACTCCCTTGCTACCAACTTAGCTATCACTGTTTGTTAGATGCCACACATGTTACACATACTATTACCATATCAGTTTTATTTTCAACATTATCTGTATTCAATTGACGTTCTTGCTGAATAATTAATGAGAAAACTTGATTCATACCTGGTAAAGGTTGCATGAGCATTATCTGGGATCTTGCTTGGAAATATCTCTTATTGAGTCCTCTTAAGAAGCGAATTACATGATCTCTTTCTTTAGTGGCCTTTATATGTACTGAAGCTCCACAAAAACAATTGAGAGAAGGTTCAAGACTGTCAAGCTCGTCCCATAAAATTTTTAACTGAGTGAAATATTCTGAAATTGATCTTGTCCCTTGCTGCAATCGAAAGATGTCTTCTTGAAGATCAGCAATGAGAAATGTATCTGATTGGGAGAATCTTTCACGTAGATCTTTCCAAACTTGTGAAGCTTGTTCCCTACAAAGAACAGATTGGGCTATAGTTTCTGTGATTGAATGACTGATCCAAGAAAGAACCATCATGTTGCATCTCTCCCATGCATAATGCAAATGATCTGTTTCAGTTGGAATGGGTATACTGCCATCCACAAAACCAAGCTTGTTCTTGGATCAAAGTGCTCTTGTCATTGTTCGAAGACAGGAGTGATAATTTTTGCCATTGAGAGGAGTAGGAACAAGAACCAATGAAGGATTCTCATTTGGGTGAAGAAAGAAAGGACTCATTTGATTATCTAGTGCTGAGCTTTGGTTCACCATTGCAGGAAATCAGAGAAGGTAAGAAGAAATTGAGTAAAGAAGACAACAATGAATACCAGAGCTCAATAGAGCTCTGCTACCATGTTATTAAAGAAAATAGAGAGAAATAAAGATTGGAAAGGAAAGAGAGAATTGCTCTGCATAATTCATATCTGATCAAAGTACAATATGAGAAGTATTCATATTGTACAGATGTGATTGTTATATCAAGAAGCGGGAAAATAACTAACAAAGGAAAATAACTAACAAATAACTAACACAAAACTACAATTCAGTTAAGCTGTAAAACTAATATGGTAATTTTTTTAATTTTTTTTTTTGCATAATTTACCAAAAAGTTAAATTCCCATAAAACAAAAATCTTCTTTGTGTGCTCTGTAGCACTCTTTTCAATCCCGAATGGAGAGGATAAAATTCCAAAAACCCAAAGGCACCGGTGGATGGGAGAGCCTTCTGCATTATATTGAGTAGGAGAAATTGTGCTAGACTACAAGACTCAAATTTTCTGTTTTTAAATAAAATTACTAACAAATCATGTCTAATATTTTTTTAATTAACAATATTTTATCATAACATAGTTGAAGATATAAAGGAAATGCTATTTGAATACAATTAGAGTAATAATTTAGGTTCGCATATCGTAATTGCATCGATATGAATTTGACACAATACAAATAAATTTAATCAAAACATGATACAATTAGTTATTTATGTCAAAATTCCATACACTAACATAACTCCTTACTATACCTATCGAAACAAAACAATAATCTATTAATTTTATTTTTTAATGAAAATAACATAAATAATCTAAAATTAATAATCAAAATTGGGGTAATATATAATATAACTTATTGAATAACAAGAGACGAAAGGAATTGTGAAATAATCCATATATTGAATAGGTATATGTGTGTACAATATATAGAAACCTAATGGGCTTAGCCCAGACTTAAACTAAATACCAATAAGAAAAATATATATTTACAATGTTATTTCCAACACTCTCCCTCAAGCTGGAGCGTACAAATCATAAGCATCAAACTTGCTACATATATACTCTATTCGAGGACCCCTTAAAGACTTAGTAAATACATCTACTAATTGATCATTAAAGGGTACAAAACTATTTATAACTTCACCACGAAGAACCTTTTCTCGAACAGAATGAACTTATCTCAATATGCTTGGTTCTTTCATGAAACACTGGATTGGAAGAAATATGTAGTTCTGCTTAGTTGTCACAAATGAGAGTTGCTGGTCTAGTGTCTCCAAACTTGAGCTCTCTAAGAAGTTGCTTCAGCCAAATGAACTCACATGTTGTAGTAGCCATTGAGCGATATTCTGCTTCTGCACTTAATCTGGCAACTACATTATGCTGCTTACTTTTCCAGGAAACCAAGTTGCCTCCAACAAATATGGCATATCCAGTAGTAGATCTCCTATCAGTAGGACAACCTTCCCAGTCAGCATCAGAGTATCCAACAACTTTAATATGATCTTTATCTTTATATTTAAGACCTTTTCCCGGAGATGCCTTGATATATTTGAGAATCCGAATAACAACATTTCAGTGTTCTTTACATGGAGAATTAAAAAACTGACTTACCACACTAACTAAAAATGAAATGTCAGACCGAGTGACCGTGAGGTAGTTCAGTTTTCCAACCAATCTTCTATACTTTTTAGGATCTGAAAAGGGCTCCCCCTGATTTGGTATAAGCTTAACATTTGGATTCATAGGTGTCTCAGCATACTTAGAATTTAACAAGGCAGTCTCTTCAAGGATATCCAGAGCACATTTCCTCTGAGATATCACAACACTATCTTTAAATTAGACCACTTCAATTCCCAAGAATTATTGAAGTTTCCCAAGATTCTTGGTCTGAAACTGATGATATAAATGTTGCTTCAACTGAGTAATCCCATGATTATCACTACCTGTGATGATAATATCTTCCACATACACCACCAGGTAGATAGACCCTGAAGCTGAATGACAAAAAAAAAGAGAATGATCAGCCTCACTACGAGTAATACCGCGCGAATTGTTGAACAACACTGCTAAATCTACCAAAGCAAGCTCGTGGAGATTGCTTGAGACCATACAAAGACTTGCGGAGATGACAAACAAGATCTGACTCCCCCTGAGCAACAAAC